TTTACATGTTATAAACAATGCAAATAAACAGTAGTTAAAGCATGTGGATCAATTGTGTGTTTGAATCACAAGTTCATGTATGGGAAAAGGGAGAGGCTTACTTTCTCGCAAACTTAGCAATAAATTGTCTACTTAGAGTTTATTCAAAGAATTATCTTTAGTAAACTGAATAATTAGGAATACATTTAGTTAAGCAACTAATTTAGTTGCATACTTGGTTTTTACTAATCACTAACTAAATCCAAGTGCCTACTACTGGCTTAGAATTATATATAGTTATGTATGGCAATTATGCTAAGAATTAAAATGGCGTGCGATTGTGAGGGTAGGGTGATTATGGTAGGATTAAGTGGTATTGCTAAATCCCACAAACCTCCCAAAACACACTGTAGAAAATCAAACAATTCAATTGTGATTGACTGACTTGGTATATCAATAATTATGATTGTAGAACTCTCTTTTTCTTTAAAAAAAAATAATAATTTGATGCTCATACCAACCCACTGTTTGTGGGGTTTACCAATACACAGATTGAATTTCTGGAAAATTGTGATTCCGCTTCCGTGAAATCGGCCACAAGTAAATTATTTTAGTATTAATAAATGCATGATTTATGTTGATTTATTGATTATGTTGTTGCTATTTTTTAACATTTAAATGGAAAAAGAAATAAAAAGTGTAATTCATGGTTTTTTATTTATCTTTGATTAATTTATCATTGAATATTAATTCTTGCAAAAAGTAAAATGTAAATGGCAATTTGTTTGATGTTAGATTCCTTTTAAAAACTAAATTATTTAAGATAAAAAAATGCATATATTGACTCAAGAAAATCAGTTTTAATACAGAATTTGATTATTGGGGAGATTCCTTTTAAAAACTAAATTAGTTAAGATAAAAATATGCATATAATGACTCAGGAAAATCAGTTTTAATTCATAATTTGATTATTGGGGCCATTTTTACCTACCTGTCATATGGGGCCATTTTTTCCGGGGCCATTTTTTCCAGGTCACATTCCAGAAACTTGCAAGCACTAATATTGCCCCGTGTAAATTGGAGTGCAAGGCAACTGATTCTGTCAAAAGTTGATATAAAGTGATTGCCCATGCAAGCTCCGTGTAAAATGGGCTTAAGCATGGGGGTCTGAACTGACTTGCTACTGATTGATTCTTACAATAACATGTCCGACGTCATTTATTAATCAATCAATATGATCTTTACATATGTTGTAGGTAATAAATAAAGCTACATGTTGCCACAACAATGCCGAAAATCGGCCCAATATCAGCGGAGCTACTACAAAAAAAACTTCGGGCGGTTCACCACATTTCTGCTAAAACAGGTTTTACACAGAAAAAATTGAAAAACCACGGTTACAAAATTAAAAAGTCCGACAAGATTTTGGATTTCTTATGGATAAAAAATTAAGATTACTAAAACTTTTATTAAATATGGAATAGGATAAAAGAACAATGGCGAAAATCGGACAAGTAGAAGTAAAGTTATGAAGAGAAATGTGCGAAAAAATTGCGAAAACAGCTGAAAATCGAACATTTCGAAATAAATTAAATAAATTCGCGACGATCAAACTTATCCTAATGAAAGAGCACGTTACAATCCAGAATAAATTGTATCCTAGCAACTTAATTAAACTAATATTATTCCCAAGGACGCAAAGGTCAGAAAGCCCTGTGTGATCAAGTAACTCTGCTCCAGTTACACCGGGTACTCATTGGTCAGTGGGCTAATTGAAAAGGACATTTATGGGCGGTGACAAAGTTTAGTAATTAAGAGTCTACTTGAAATGGTCGCTGTAAAAACGATTATACAAACACATCAGTTGTGCCGCCAATTGGATAGCTTCGTAACGGTAACCGGGGCTCCTTCTGGCAGCTGCTGAGCCTCTTTCTTCGAAGAGGCAAACTGTTGAATGTGGTCCCTGTCCACTTATTTTAACAAGGTAGATGACACATAACAAAAGAAGCTCTATATGGGACCTAGGTTGGGTGCCAATAAAAGTAAATCAAGACATACATTAATCATGTAATGAATTTAGATAAGCATAGATTGCAAAATTGATTCAATCTTTGAAAATTCATGCCTTGGAGTTGCATCCGATATGTGTTGGGTTAACTCGGATTTCAAAGAGTTAATTCTTGATTCATATGTTTCTTTTTTGGAATAGCGAAATGTTAAGAAAATCGTCACTTTCTAATGGAAAAATATTTACTTGACCAGACTGATTTTATGGGTGCAAGCCTAAAATTCAAAATGAGGTCAAATACTCTTCCATTAGGACATAGGACCTGTAAATGGGTACCCAATAGTGATGGCACTTGCCAATTGTGTAATAATGGTGTTGAAGATATAAAACATTTCTTATTCACATGTAATCAACTAAACACCATTTGAGTTGAAGAATATCATGTTTTAGAAAATAAGCTCTGATTGCCTAAATGTATAGGAGTATTTTATCACAAGTGACCTTTGTACTAAATTGTGTATTGTTCTTGGGGGAGAGGTGCATTGTGACTATATTTATGATGTTCTTATGTTAAGAGAGCATGGAAGCTTAGGAATGATTTATTCTCTTAAGATGATAGTTGTTTATGGACTGTCTATTGTACTTC